AAACTAATTGTTGTAAGTTAATTGTTCTATTTAAAAGCATATTATTTCACAATAATTGTTCAATTTATTCCTATCATTAACTTATAAATAAGAATTACATGATTATGAATCTTATAAATAGTAGATGCCTTTTTGGTCAACCAAGTGTATTCCTTCACATTCTTTTTATTTTATTTTATTTAATTTTCTAAATATTTTTGGATAAAAAAATATTTTGGGTTAAAGTAACTTTATGAATAATGTAAATTTATAAAATATTATTATAAAACTGCAATTTTTTTTAGACGACATGCTATATAGCTTTACTACATTGATCAATTTACACTCCACAAAAGCACAAATCATCTTAAAATAAGTAAATTTTTCATACATAATTTAATGATAATTTTTATTGATATTTTAAATAAATTTATTAATTATTATTTTATTTAATTTTATAATCAAAACGTAATAATGACATAACATAGAGATGGAAAAGTAAAGATGAAAAAGAAAAGAACAACAATTTTACAAGGTAAGGCAGCCAAACAATAGAATTGTCACAGCAGATATAGTTCATTGCTTCGTACCTAAAACCTTAAACTTCAACTTTTCATTCATCACTTGCTGGTGGCCACATTTAATAGATTGTCCCTCACAACCATTTCACTGCAAAGAAACAAAAAGGAGAAAATCAGAAGATCAAATTAAAGCAAAACTCAACAGGAACCAATCTCTTTTTTTTTTTTTTTCTAGCTTAATGAAGACATACCGAAGTAACCTAGTGAGTTCGGTTGCCTTCGCAAAGTCGCCTTCTTCGCGTGCCTTAAAAATCCTAAACATGATAGCCAGACGGATTTTGTTTCTAGCGCTCTGCTGGATGACGAGTCTAGTTTCTCTCTTAAGCTTCTGGCATTCGGCTTCAATGGCTTCAAATTTTTCTCTAACCTGTCTTTGTCCTTCCCTGATACTTCTTTGTTCGGCACCAATTTCTTCCATCTCCACTCTCAGCCTCTGGAGTTTTGACTCCATTTCTTTGGCTTTCCTCGTCTGAACACCATTAATTATTAATTCAATTAAACGTAACGTTAGACGAAATTAAAAAACAAGAAAATAATGTATATTAGATTGCAGAAAAATAAGGTGTTTTAGTAATTAAAATATGAAAAAAATTCAAAATGACAAAATATGAACTTTTAGACGAGAAGCATGCCATAAATTATTAAAAATGTTCAATATAAACAAACTTACAAATTTAGTAATTATTATTGTATTATTATATTTAGTAATTATATTTAAAGTGCTTTTAGAGGTTAGTTTAAATTACAAAACAATAAACTTATTAAAATATTATATATTGAGAAAATAATGTTTTACAAATTAAACTACACTTTAAAGTATAGGTTAATTTATAAATTTATTAAAAAAACCCTTAACAAGATTATTTTTTATATTATTAATAAGATTATTTTTTATATTATTTTATTATTAATAATTTAATAATTTCAATATTCAAACTACATTTTTGACATACAATCTAACTTGTAAAACATAAGTCCCATATGTGTGTATATGTATATAATATATAGAGTAAAGATTTATTTACACATAAAACTTATATAATAGACTTACTTAAAATCTCAATCATTTATTTTTTTATTTTTAATA